TCCCCTCCTCGCTCCCCTCCCCAAACTCTCCCTGATCAAGATCATTCGCCTGGGCATCGTTGCTGGATGGGCATCGACGCACACAGACCCATCCACACACAGACCACTCACACTCCTAGAAGCTTAAGCTCATACACAGTCACACTCAGGCGCACACCCATATACACTCACACTCCACTTCTCCTCCCCCATCTCATTCTCGTACTCCTCATCCTCCTCCCGCTGCCCAATTCCGTTCGCTCTTCTCCTCCCCCTCGTTTTCTTCCTTCTCCTCATCCTCTTTCCCCCTCCTCGCTCCCCTCCCCAAACTCTCCCTGATCAAGATAATTCGCCTGGGCATCGTTGCTTGATGGGCATCGACTGCAGGGGCCGATAGACGCATTAGTGCCACTGGTGGCAATCGTCTGACATCGCCTGCAGCAGACGATAGCAGACGATAAGACCAGCTAGCGGCCGCCAGGAACCGCTGCAGACGATTGCAGACGATAGCAGACGATAGGTCCAGCTGGGGGCCGCCAAGAACTGGTGCAGATGATTTCAGACGATAGCAGACGATAGGATCTGATAGGGGCCGCCAGGGGTGGCTGTCGTCTGCTACCGTCTGCAGCAGACGATAGCAGACGATAGCAGAAGATAAGGCTAACTAGGAGCTGCCAGGGCCCGCTACAGACGATAGAGAAACGGTGCAGACGATAGCAGACGATGGGATCTGATAGGGGCCGCCGGGGGTGGCTGTCGTCGGCTATCGTCTGCAGCAGACGATAGCGGACGATAGCAGACGATAGGACCAGCTTGGAGCTACCAGGACCCGCTGCAGACGAAAACTGACGATAGCACGAAACCAGCTGTGGGGCCGGAAGGAACCGCAAGGGGCAAACAGGAGGCAACAAGGCACTTGGGTGCAATCGTCTGCTATCGTCTTCTATCGTCTGCTACCGTCTTCTATCGTCTGCTTTCGTCTGCTATCGTCTGCTATCGTCTTGCACCAAATAGCCGACAGCGTTTGCAACTACAATGTGCTGTTTGAGCCTTTTCGCTTTTTCGCTTCCGATGGGCTCTTGAGGCCTCAAGATGGGCCCAAGGTAGCTCAAGGGAGCCCCAAGAGGGGCTGAAGAGGGCCCCAAGACGGCCCCAAGAGCGCCCAAGAGCGCTCCAAGAGCGGCCAAAGAGGGTCCCAAGACGCCCCTTTTAAGCCTCCGAGGGAGAGGACCTGAATTGGGGACATCCCTCTTTTTGAACAAATGGGGGCCAAGACGGCCCCAAGAGGCCTCCCAGACCCCCACAAAGAACCCCAAGAGGGCCGCAAGACACCAAAAAAGAGCTCCAATAATGCCCCAAGAGGGCCCCCAAAAGAACCCGAAGAGACCCCCAAGATGGCTCCAAGAGACCTCCGAGAAAACGCGTCCGAGGCGGTTGTTACACAGCTTGCTTCCACCATCACCGTCAGCACCAGCAGCAGCAGCAGCAGCACCGCCACAACCACCACCAGCAGCACTAGCAGCAGCGGCAGCACCAGCAGCAGCAGCACCACCACCAGCACTAGCAGCAACACCAGCGGCACCAGCAGCACCAGCAGCACGAGAACTGGCAACACCAGCAGCAGCAGCACCAGCAGCAGCAGTACCAGCAGAGGCAACAGCACTAGCAGCAGCACCAATACCCTTCGCTACCAGAGATCTGCCAATTCACCGTTGTTGCCTGCGCTGTTTCACTATATGTGCGTCTCTCCCCCCATGCTCTCGTCAGCTCTCCTGGGCATCGTTCCTGGATGGGCTGGTGGGAATATGCGAAGCGTCAAGAATTGCCCTCCAGAGGCCTCCGAGAGTACTCTGAAGAGGCCCAAAAAAGCATCCCCGAGGACTCTGGCCCACAACCCAAGCACTGTGGCGGGGTGGGACAAAGCCCATTGGGATGATCATGAACATCATCAGCATAGTTGTCATCGGCATCTTCGACCACATCATGGGCAGCATCAGTGTCATCAGTATCCACATCAACAACACATATATCATCATCGTAAGTGTCAGCATCCCATCAGCATCAACATCCGCATCGCGGAAGCCAAACTTACCATCAACAGCATCCTTGTCACGACTATCCACACCAATAACATGCGCATTGTTGAAGTAAGCGCCATCTCCCTAGTCAGCATCAACGTCCACAAACAAATCGTCAGACACATCAGTCTCGTGAACGTCGCCATCTGCAGCATCCGAGTCATCATCGTACTCCTCATCAGCATCATCGAAGTCAGTATCACAACTATCAGCACCATCATTTTCATCACAACCACAATCGTAACAATGAGCGTCATCAGCAGTACCCCCGTCAACAGAATCATCGCCACGATCGTCCAAACCCTCCTCATCGTCATAAGCAGAAACTTCGGCCTCATCATAATCATCGTTGTCGCCATCATCATCATCGGCACCTCTACCTGCTTCCCTCTCGTCCTCCTCACCAGCACCATTCATTTTGTTGTCATCCTCCCCGCTTCTTCAACAACGGGCGCATTACCATAATAAGCGCCATCACCCTGATCAGCATCAACGTTCAAAAGCAAAGCACCAGAACATAATTATCGTGAATGCCGAGAGCTGCAGTATCCAAGTCATCATCGTACTCATCATCATCATCAAAATCCTTATCTCAATGCCAGCACTATCACCAATACAATCGTCGGGTGATCCGGGAGTCCGGTGAGTCCGGGAGTCCGGTGGGTCCTGCGAGTCCGGTGAGTCCGGCGAGTCCGGTGGGTCCGGTGGGACCGGTGGGTCCGGTATGTCCGGTGGGTCTGGTATGTCCGGTGTGTCCGGTGTGTTTGGTGTGTCCGGTATGTCCGTTGTGTCTGGTGTGTCCGGTGTGTCTGGTGTGTCCAGAGGCCGGCGTAGGAGCGAGGAGGTTTGAGGTTCGAGGTGTGTGGAGGTCTTCGCTGGTTCTTGGAATTCAGTGCTTTCGCTTCCGAGCAATCCAGTCAAACCGCATAGTAAGTTTGAGCGGCTTTCCAAGGTTACTTTTGCATCCTTCCCTTTCGGCCCACCCTTTGCCGCTTTTTCTGGCCGCGCCCCGCTCGAAAAGTGCCGAACATGACCTTACACGGCCCTTGCATCCTCATCGTGCGTTTTTATGATACGGGTTGACTGTACCAAGTCAGACCATGCACCTCTCGCCTGGCATCGCGCGAGGCTGCGCCTGTTGGGCCTCTTGGTGGCCTATTGGGGGCTTCACGGAGGCCTCTTGGAACCTCTTGGGGACCTCTTTGGACTTTCTTTGGGGCCTCTTGAAAGCCTCTTGCGGCCTCCTGGGGGCACCTCGGGAGCTTCTTGGGGGTTGAGGGGGTCATCTTGGGATGGAGGACTCGAAGGGTCAGTTCGAGTTCCCCTCTTGGGGCCGTCTTGGGAGCCCCCTTTGCCATCTTGGGTCCTCTTGGGCCCTCTTGGGGCCCTCTTGAGGTCCTCTTGGGGTCCTCTTAGGCTGACTTGGGGCGGCCTTGGGGGCCTCGAGGAACCTTTTGGGCGCTCTTAAGACCGAACAGACGATATTTTTGAGTCGTTCGTGAAACCGCGTGTTTTAGCCGATTTGGGCTACTTGGGGCCACCTGGGGGGTCCTCTTGGGGCCCCCTCGAAGCGTGTTGGAGGCCTCTTGGACCATGTCGAGGCCAATGTAGCAGTCCTGGAGCTTTCTTCGGCCGTCTCGTGTGCCTCTTGGACCGTCCTGGTGGCCTCCTTCGGCCCCTTTTCGCTCGTCTTGGGGCTTCTGGGGGATTGAGCCGCCCCAGCTCACCCCCGCAGCAGATAGATTTTCCCCAGACAGTGCTTGCACTTCGGGGCTCCCGCTTGCCTTCTAAGGCAGTCGAGCTCCAGTGCCGCCCCTGCCGGCTCGTCGCCGCGCGTTGCCGCCCATCGTCGCCGCCCGTCGCCGCCGATAGCCAAGCTCCAGTGCCGCCCCGGCCAGCCCGTCACCGCCCGTCGCCGCCGGCAACTGAGCCCCGGTGCCGCCCCGGCCGGCTCGTCGCCGCCCGCCGCCGCCGCCGCCGCTGGTCGCATTGCTTTTCATAGCTCGGCTTTGCGCCGTGTTGCATCGCATTGGCACTGCACTGCTTTGCATTGCTGCGCATCGCATTGCATTGTTTTGCACTGCTTTGCCTTGATTCGTATTGCTCTACATCGCTGGGCAATCCTTTACATCGCATTGCATTGCTTTCACTGCATTGCTCTACGTTGTGTTGCATTGCTCGGCGTTGCTGTGCAGGGTTTGCATCACGTTGCTTTGCACTGCTTTGCTTTGCACCGCGTAGATTGCACCACATGGGTTGCAGAACCTAGATGGCGCCGCATTGACTGTACCACCTGGACGGCACCGCAAGGGATCGGGAGGAGGAAGGATGCAGGGCAGCGAGGTAATCGGAAGACGCCAAGGCACGCTCGGACCGAGCCTGGCCTGGTCGATCCATGGCCCAGGGTCGGCGCGCATGCCACCCTGGCCAAGCCAGGAAGGCGCGACTCCTCCGAGCCTGGACCCAGGAGAGCTGGGCCAGGATCAGTGCAGGTGCACAGCCGGCGTCCTCCTTCGTGCGGCCCTCGTCTCCAAGCAGGCGGCCTCTCTCCCACCGCCTTTTTGCCCCGCTCTTCCAGGATCGTTGCCGCTGGGGGGCGCACGCCATCCGAATGCTTTCTCCCCGGGGAGGGCTGCTCACGGCCACAACACGGCCACTGGAGGCCCTCCAAGAGCCCTCCTCCAAGAGGCCCCGGAGAGGCCTCCCAAAGCCCACAGATGTACCCAAACGCAAGAAATGCTTCAGACCCATAACCCCAGGCACGGCGGCGGCGCAGCCCACAGGCCACAGGCCACCAGGTACGCCCCGCCCCCATCTCCTGCAGCAGCCCCGGCTGGAGCCGGCCGGCAGCCCCGCGGCATGGAGCCCGCCCCCGCGGCGGCCCTGGGGCCGCGCCCGCGCCCCGCGGCCCCCGCGGCCGCGCCCCTCGCAGCGTGGCCGCGCCCCGAGGCCCCGCCCGGTGGCAATGCGGGCGGCCCGCCGCGCGGCCCGCGGCGGCGGGTGCCTCATGGCCTGCGCGGGCCGCTGCCGTCGCTGCCGCCCGGCGTCGGCGGGCGCCCGCCGGGCGCGGCGGGCGCCCGCTGAGCGGCCGGGCGGCAGCGCGCTCAGGCGACGAGGCGCGACGCGAGGGCTCAGGCCTCCCGCGCGTCGCCGCCTGCGCGTCCCCAGATCTCCGACGGTGTGGTCTGTGGCCTCCTCCTCCTCCTCCTCCTCCTCCTCCTCCTCCTCCTCCTCCTCGTCCTCGTCCTCCTCGTCCTCCTCCTCCTCCTCCTCCTCCTCGTCCGTCCGCGTCCTCGTCCTCCTCCTCCTCCTCCTCCTCTCTTCCTCCTCCTCGTCCTCCTCCTCCTCTTCGTCCCCCCTCCCCCTCCCCCTCCCCCTCCTCATGACCCAACCTCTTTCTCCTCCCTCCTCCTCCTCCTCCTCCTCCTCCTCCTCCTCCCATCCTCCTCCTCCTCCTCCTCCTCCTCCTCCTCCTCCTCCTCCTCCTCCTCCTCTTCCGACAGTGTGATCTGTGGCATCCCGGCGATTTTCCCCCGACTTTTCGGCCTTTGAGGCCAGTCGCCGGACCCGGGACCATCAGACAAATGGAAATGGGGCCTCCTGAGCCGGACACCGAAAAAGCAACTCGTCGGATGTTTGGGTCGCGCGTCGCGGTCGTGGCTGCCGCCAGCGCCGTGGTCGCCGCCGCCGTCGTCGTTTTCGTCGTCGTGGCCGTCGTCGCGGCCGTCGAGGGCAGCGGGCGCGAGGTGTGAGGCAGGGGAGGCCAACGGTTGGTCCGACCAGCGTGTTGAGGGCCAGTGGGGCCGAGTGGCAGCCAAGCGGGCTCTCCCTGGGCCGAGGAGCGATCAGAATGGTCGGGTGCCGCTCCTGAGTCCGATTTGCGCTGACGGTTTCGAGGGGAGGGTCCAGACATCTAACGTTTTCTGTTGTTTCTTCACTTGGCGGCCCCAGAGGAGCGAACACTGGGTCATGGGGGTCTCTTGCTCGTGAGGGCTTTCATGGTAGGCCAGGGCGCATCCCGTCACTGGCCCTTCGCCGGGGGTGTCGATCTCTGTCCTCCTCCTCCACCACCACCATCCCCCTCATGCTCTTAAACGTTCGTAACAGCTTCAAGCATGGAGAGGGATTTTTGCAAAATGGTGCTCTCGCCTGACCGCCGCGCACATTCGCTTTGAAAGTTTGCAACAGCTTCAAAGATGGAGGGGGTCGTTTTCAAAATGGTGCTCTCGCCTCAGCGCCGCGCGCATTCGTGTGACCACGCCCTGGTCTGCGCCTGCCGCGGCGACCGGACCAAACGCCACAACGCCCTGCGCAACCAGGCCTTCTTCGACGCCCTGGCCGCCGGCTACGCCGGGGCGGAGTTGGAGCGCCCGGGGCTGCTACCCCCGCGCCCCGCCGGGGAGGCCACCCCCGGGGGCGAGCAGCGCGGGACCCAGGTGGACGACAACGGCCGCCGCCCTGCCGACGTCTACCTGCCGCGGTGGCGCAACTGCACGGCGGCCGCCTGGGAGTTTGCCGCCACGTCAGGGTTGCACGCCGATCTCCTCGCCGCATCGGCCGCTTCGTCAAGCGCAGCGACGGAGCGGTACGAGGAGTTCAACAGGCAGCACCAAGACACCGCGCGGCTCTGCGCGGCACAGGGCTTCACCTTCCTCTCCATGGTGGTGGAAGCCCACGGCGGCGGGTGGGGCCGCGAGGCACGCAGGGCCCTCGGGGTCCTGGCCAAGCGGGTGGCTGACGCAACCGGGGAAGACGCCGCAATGGTTGCGGACCAACACGCCCAGCGACTTTCCATCTTTTGCCTGCCCGCCCGCCCCGCCGGCCCTGGCCTCCCGCCTGGGCGTCCGTCCTCGTCTGCCTGCTTCTGCCGTCCTCGCCCCCTTCCGGCGGGCAGCACAGCCTGCCCGGGACCAGCGTGGCGCAGCCTGCTTCCGTAGCCTGAAATTCGGCCACGCGTGCAGGTGTTCCGCTTGTTGCAGCGCTCTGGACGGCACTGCCCTGGGCTTTTCCCAACCGCCAGTTTGTGTGGCTCGTTTGAAACACGCGGCTCTCGCCTGAGCGCCGCGTGCATTTGTTCTAGAAGCTTACAGCAGCTTCAACGATGGAGCGCAGGTCGTTTTCAAAGTGGTGCTCTCGCCTTAGCGCGGCGCGCAGTCGTCAGAGAACGTCTGCCACAGCTTCGAAGGTGGAGCGCAGGGCGTTTTCAATATGGTGCTATCGCCTTGGCGCCATGCACCTGCGTCCTGAACGCTTGCTGCGGTTTCAAGGACGGATGGCGGCTTCTGTTCAAAATGGTGCTCTCGTTTTAAAGCCGCGAGTATTCGTGTCAACATCTTACAGTCGTCGCAACGATTGAGCGCAGTTCGTTGTCAACATGCAGCTCTCGCCCTAGCGCCGCGCACACTAGTTAACAGTTGGAGCAGCTTTGAAGATGAAGGGCGGTCGGTTCCTGTCGTGGTGCTCTCGCCGCGGCGCTGCGCACATTCGCTCCATCGCCTGGCAACAGCTTCAGAGATTGATCAACTGCCATGTTCAAACTCTGGTTTGTTGCTTCAACAGCGCGCACATTCGGGTCCTTAATCCCTCAGGTGCGCTTGCGTGTGTGTGTGTGTGTGTGTGTGTGTGCGTGTGTGTGTGTGTGTGTGTGTGTGTGTGTTCAACACGGGGTTCTCGCTCGGGTTTATCGCCCGACGCTTCAACACATGTAGCATTGCACGGGTCCACGGCGTTTTTCCCAACCCTCCTATGGTTGGGTACTCGCTTTGAATAGAGCAGTGTGGTCGCCCCGTCCTTTTTGTTCTCCCCCCCCTCCTCCCCTCCTCCTCTCCTGTTTCCTGTGTTCCCCTCTCCTCTTCTCTCGTGCCGTCGGGCTTCGCAACTGTCGCCACTTTCGTGGGCTCCTGGGAGGCCCAGCGGAGGTGGGTCCCACGCGGATCGCCTCGAGACCTCGCGTTGCCCTGGGGGCTGCGATTTGCGCAACTGTCGCCACTATCGTGGGCTTTTGGGAGGCCCAGCGGAGGTGGGTCCCACGCGGATCACCTCGAGACCTCGCGGTGCCCTGGGGTTGCGATCTGCGCAATTGTCGCCACTTTCGTGGGCTCCTGGGAGGCCCAGCGGAGGTGGGTCCCACGCGGATCGCCTCGAGACCTCGCGGTGCCCTGGGGGCTTGCGATCTGCGCAATTGTCGCCACTTTGGTTGGCCCCTGGGATGCCCAGCGGAGGTGGGTCCCACGCGGATCACCTCGAGACCTCGCACTGCCCTGGGGGCTGCGATCTGCGCAATCGTCGCCATTTTCGTTGGCTCTTGGGAGGCCCAGCTAAGGTGTGTCCCACGCGGATCACCTCGAGACTTCGAGGCGCCCTGGGGGGCTGCGATCTGCGCAACTGTCGCCACTTTCGTGGGCTCCTGGGAGGCCCAGCGGAGGTGGGTCCCACGCGGATCACCTCGAGACCTCGTTGTGCCCTTGGGGCTGCGATCTGCGCACTCGTCGTCATGTTCGTGGGCTCCTTGGAGGCCCAGCGGAGGTGGGTCCCACGCGGATCACTTCGAGACCTCGCGGTGCCCTGGGGGGCTGCGAGCTGCGCAATTGTCGCCACTTTCGTGGGCTCCTGGGGGGCCCAGCGGAGGTGGGTCCCACGCGGATCACCTCGAGACCTCGCGGTGCCCTGGGGGCTGCGATCTGCGCAATTCTCGCCATTTTCTTTGGCTCTTGGGAGGCCCAGCGGAGGTACGTCCCACGCTGACCACCTCGAGACCTCGCGGTGCCCTGGGGGCTGCGATCTGCGCAACTATCGCCATTTTCGTGGGCTCCTGGGAGGCCCAGCGGAGGTGGGTCCCACGCGGATCACCTCGAGACCTCGCGGTGCCTTGGGGGCTTGCGATCTGCGCAGTTTGTCGCCACTTTCGTGGGCTCCTGGGAGGCCCAGCGGAGGTGGGTCCCACGCGGATCACCTCGAGACCTCGCACTGCCCTGGGGGCTGCGCTCTGCGCAATTGTCGCCATTTTCGTGGGCTCCTGGGAGGTCCAGCGGAGGTACGTCCCACGCTGACCACCTCGAGACCTCGCGGTGCCTTGGGGGCTGCGATCTGCACAATTCTCGCCATGTTTGTGGGCTCCTGGGAGGCCCAGCTGGGGTGTGTCCCACACGGATCACCTCGAGACCTCGCGGTGCCTTGGGGGCTGCGATCTGCGCAATTCTCGCCATGTTCGTTGGCTCTTGGGAGGCCCAGCTGAGGTGTGTCCCACACGGATCACCTCGAGACCTCGCCGTGTCCTGGGGGGAGCGATCTGCGCAATTCTCGCCATTTTCGTTGGCTCTTGGGAGGCCCAGCTGAGGTGTGTCCCACACGAATCACCTCGAGACTACGCGGCGCCCTGGGGGGCTTGGATCTGCGCAACCGTCGCCACTTTCGTGGGCTCTTGGGAGGCCCAGCGGAAGTGCGTCCCACGCGGGCCACCTCGAGACCTCGCGGCGCCCTGGGGGGCTTACGATCTGCGCAGTTTGTCGCCACTTTCGTGGGCTCCTGTGAGGCCCAGCGGAGGTGGGTCCCACGCGGACCACCTCGAGACCTCGCGGCGCCCTGGGGGGCTGCGATCTGCGCAACCGTCGCCACTTTCGTAGGCTCCTGGGAGGCCCAGCGGAGGTGGGTCCCACGCGGATCACCTCGAGACCTCGCACTGCCTTTGGGGCTGCGATCTGCGCAACTGTCGCCACTTGTGGGGGCTCCTGGGAGGCCCAGCGGAGGTGGGCCCCACGCGGATCACCTCGAGACCTCGCGGTGCCTTGGGGGCTGCGATCTGCGCAATTGTCACCATTTTCGTGGGCTCCTGGGAGGCCCAGCGGAGTTGGGTCCCACGCGGATCACCTCGAGACCTCGCGGTGCCCTGGTGGCTGCGATCTGCGCAATTCTCGCCACGTTCGTGGGCTCCTGGGGGGCACAGCGGAGGTGGGTCCCACGAGACCTCGCGGTGCCTTGGGGGCTTGCGATCTGCGCAATTGTCGCCACTTCCGTGGGCTCCTGGGGGGCCCAGCGGGGGTGAGGTGGGTCCCACACGAATCACCTCGAGACTTCGCGGTGCCCTGGGGGCTGCGATCTGCGCAATTGTCGCCGCTTTCGTGGGTTCCTGGGATGCC